ACTCACAAATCAATAGCATTGTTGTACACAAACAACAAACTTATTGAGAGAGAAATTAGGGAAAACACCATTCGCAATGCCATCATTAACAAATGAAATACTTAAGTACCTAAAAAAGGAGGTAAAAGATTTGTACATTGAAATTTACAGTACTTTGCAGTATCAATGAAGATTTGAGAAAATGGAAAGTTAATCCTTACTCATGGATAGGGAAAACCAACGTTGTGAAAATGATCATGCTCCTCAAACTGTTATACAGCTTTAATACAATTCCGATCATAATACTATTAGGAGCCCTCACAGAATTGGAGAAAACATTCTTAAAATTCATCTGGTACCAGAGGAGACCTAAAATAGGAAAGGCAGTCCTCAGCAACAAAGATAAGGAAGGAGGTATCATGATACTTGACATGAAATTATACTACAAACTTACTATTAAAAAAATCAGCATAGTACCAGGGGAAAAAAAAAAAACCATGAAAAACAAAAAACCAGACCTGAGCTTTAATAGATCAGAATAAAAGATGCAGGCAAAACTATACATACACTCAGCCACCTTATCTTTGACAAAGTGGCCAAACAGATTCACTGGAAAGAATGGTAGCCCCTTTAATAAATGGTGCTGGAAAAACTGGCTCTTTACATGCCTAAAATTAGACTCATGTCTATCACTGGGCCCTAAACTAAAGTCAAAGTGGATCAAAAGTCTAACTTCTAAAACAAACACTAAACCTGCTGGAAGACAAAACGTTGAGAACATGGATAGGCAGCAAGTTCATGAACAAAAACCAAATAGCATGGAAAGTACTTCAGAGACAAATGGGATCTCATCTTATTACAAAGTTTTTACACTTCAAAAGAAATCACCAACAGAGTGAAAAGAAAACCTATGAATAGGGAAAAAATTTTAGCCAACTGTCCCTTAGGCAAAGGACTTCTATCTAGAACATATAAAGAATTGAAAAACAGGCCCCTTGAATGCAAAGACCCACTACAAAAGTGGGCATCTGAGATGAATACACACTTCTTAAGATGAAGAAATACAAATGGCAAATAAATTTATGAAAAAATGTTCAACATCACTGGTCATTTGAGAAATGCAAATTAAAATAACACTGAGGTTGTGTCTCGCACCAGAAAGAATGGCTATCATCAAGGAAGGAACTAAAAACAAATGCTGACGAGGCTGTGGGGAAAAAGGAACCCTTCTCCACTGTTGTATGGAGTGTAGACTGGTGCAACCACTGTGGAAATCACTTTGAAAGTTCCTCACAAAACTAGTCAACCCCTTGACTACAACAAAGAAGAGTCATCAAGGAAGGTGTCCCCCCTGACTTCTTTCAGGGTTGCTCTGTTGCTTCCCCACTGGTGTGCTGCACTTTCTTCACTGAGTCTTTTCCTGTACTTTCCATTACAGTAGAGTTGTCTTGTATCTCCTTGATTCACAAATGCAGCATCTGCAACACCTGAGAACTTGTTAGAAATGCAAATTCTCAGGTGCTCTCCCAAAATTCTGAAATACACACACTGTAGCACTCTGTTTAACAAGTCCTTTAGTTTATTCCAGTATATACTAGCATTTGAAGATCTCAACCCTGCACAAAGCCCTTACTCTGAGCAAAGATGCTCTTTTGTGATCTCTTTCCTTGCTTGCTCTTTTGCAGGCCTGTTCCCCATCCACACAGACACACCCTGTCCATATCCTGTCACCCATAAATACGCTGAGCCCTTTCCCACACTGACTGCCACCTGGTGAACACTTCCTCCATAAGGCCTTCCAGAGCCTCACTGCTTTGCCTGGAACAGCCGGAGAGAGACGTTTTGCTTGTCAGCACTGTCTTCACTTCTCTCCTAGGTCCCTCATAGTAGGGAACATTATCCTTGTAGATCATCCTGAACCCGCTTTAGTAGAGACTGTTGGCTATCCTAGTAGTCAGTCAGATTGAGTGACTTCTTAGTACCTGTTTTTCTGGTCTTTGTGACACCATAATTTATGTTTAGAAGTAAAGGAGTTTTTCTTCACTGTGAACAGTTTTGATGAATTATAAATCAGGGAGGATGGTTTTGTAAGGCACAGATTCTCCCTTCCACATGGCAATAATCTTATCTTGACAGCATTTCATGTGAAGTTAACTCTAGTCAGAAAAGAAATCTTACTAGGTTTTAATTAAAAACACAAGGTATTTTCTCCCTTGCCTCCTACTTCCTTTTTTAATCTTTTTCCTCTCCTTTGCTTTTTTCCTTCTTCATCTAATGTGTTCTCCCTTAACCTCTCTCTTCTCTTTATCATACTTTTCACATTTAAAATGTTTTGGTCATAGCTAATCCCTATGGAGAGAAACTCTGCAGAGCAGGATATTGATTACCAAATATGGTGTTGCTGCTAAAGATGTTGGAGGAATGTGGCTTGTATTCTAAGCCTCCAGCCTCTGTATAAGCTGCCAAACAAATTAGGTCATTTTAACTTGGGAGCTTTTTTTTTTTCCTTTTAATAAGGATGTTGGAACTTTGATTTGGAACATCATGTTGATATTATTTTAGCTCAAACAACAGGGGTATGAAGAAAGTGGGGAGGAGTTGGGAGATTCAATTCAGCATATTTTAGGATACAAGCCACCAACCCATGTTGTATAAGAGGCAAGTACATTGCACAGAGTCTCAGTTGATTCTGCAACACCAGTGATCAAGCTGAGACATAGAATTCAGATGTTCAGTCTCATTATCTAAGGCTCAAAGTTCCAGAGAACCACAGACATGTCCTAAAATGTTCCCCATACCCCAGCCGCCTGCAGTGAGTTCCTTATATTGTCATGAGCCTAAGTTTAAGAGTGTCCTTCCAGGGAGATTGGTGAATAGCACTGTTGGGAGGATGGCCTAAAATCGACTACAAGCTGCTGCCCTGCATGTTCGATGGGCATGGTGTGAACGAATCCTTCCTCAGCATACCTTTGTTTGGTAGAACTGAGGACAGAGCCTAGGGCCTCATGTTAGGCAAGCACTTTGCCACTGAGCCACATCCCCTGTCCTACAGCAAATCATTGTGTCACAGCCAGAGACCATGCTTTTCTCCCAGCAAACACCACAGCTGTTCAGTTCCATATTTGGAAATAGTTATTCTGTTGAGATAGTAATTTTGATAAGGTAAACTCTGCTTAATTGGAAACTGGTATAAGCAAATGCTGCTTCAAAGCAAATAAAGCTTTGTTTCTTTTCTTATATATATATTTTTTTGGGGGGGGGGAGACAGTAGTACTGATGTTTCCCAAATTGAAAGAATAACCAAAAAATCCCAAAACCAATTTTTAAAAAGTTCTGTGCTTCCTAAAACTGATTCTTCCTTTTCACTTCAAATAGAGGATCCCCTACCCCATGCTCCAGACTGGTAACCTCAATTGTTTTTTCTAAAAAAAAATTAATATCTTAGGCTCGAAGAGATTCTGCCCATGCCAGTAATCTCTGAGTCAGGGCTCTGTGACTTACGTTATACCTTTCTCAGGACCTCTCCTATAATCCACCTTTTCCTCCTGTAGCTGTTACCCTCTGGTAGCAGGCTCTTCCTTGCATATTTGTACTTGAACCTGTGAATCATAATTGTCCCATCTGGTCTACACAATAAGAGTCTTTTACCTACTGCTTGAGGAAATTGTTTTTTCCTTCTCTCTCTCTGTCTCTTTTTTTTTTGTTGGTATTAGAAATTGAACTCTTGAACTTGTGCTTTGCCACGCAAGTCCTGTTCCACTCAGTTATATTCCAAACCTCTTTTCCTTTTTACAATTGAGAAGAAAAGAGTTTGGGGATTAGTAGAACCACACATGTACATCCAGAACACTATATAGAACACCTGTATACTTAGGATACTCACTTTGAAGACACAAACATAGGACTTTGGGTGCATCTATGCACTGTTCTGGCATTTCTGACACTTGGCGGGGTGCAGAATTCATGGCACTGAATGTAGTTTTCACTGGTTCCTAGTTATGATTAGTAACAAAGAAATTTTTGATTAGCTAGGTTCCAAAATAGAATTTGCTTGCCCTAAATCTTGTTTGTAGTTGTTGTGATTTATCAAATGTTATTTTTTTTAAGGTGAGCTATAGTAATAGGGACAAGGGTAGTTAATATTACTATCCTTTCATTGGTCTGTGTAATCCTTTGGCCATGTGGAATGTAAGCCAATTGTAATAAAAGTAGGACTGTATAATGTCAAGCCATTCATACTTTATATAAATCTATTAAACTAGAATCAAAAGATATTAATTATGTTAGAAATCATGGGAGCATTTACTTTCTCTTCGGGGTGTTCTGTTTTGTTTTGTTTTGAGACAATGTCTCGCTCTGTAGTTCAGGCTGACTTTGTACTCACCTTGTAGTCCAAGCAGGCCCTTGAATGCTCACTTATCCTCCTGCCTCAGGCTCCCCAGCGCTGGGATTACAGGCATGTGCCACCATGCCTGGCCAATGTCTGTCTTCCAAGTAAACTTATTTGTATTACCTTTGTCAAACTCTGTGTTAGAAGGAAATGGAGTTCTTTTTTTCCATTTATAGGTAGGAAAACTAAACGCATTGAAGAATTGTGCTATTTATAGCACTGGAAACCAGACCTCTCCGGATTTTAGATGTCAGACTTCAGTGTTAAACAGTATTTCCTTCTGTTTGTCAATAATCATATTTTTCATTTGCATTAATAGCAATCAGTTTTTAAATGTGGCAGGAATTTGCTATTTCAATTTTAGAACTTGAAAGTTTTTCTCCAAGAAGAAAATGGATCAGTGAAAAATTCATGTAACTCAGTTTTTTAATGGAGTAAGCTAAATGTTCCTGACTTTGTGGGCACACTGTGTTGTGGGATTTTGTATATTCTAAGTAAATAGTGAGAATGAGAACACTTACTGACCTTTTTTCCTGATAGGCCAGGGTTTACTGGAGTGTTTATTTTGTCACCATTCCGGTTTGACTCTAAGGAAATGAAAACATCTTCCATTTGTTCTTTATTTCCAAAGGGCATCCGCTTCGATCCTGAAATTCCGCAAACACTACGACTAGAGTTTGCTAAGGCAAACACGAAGATGGCCAAGAACAAACTAGTAGGGACTCCAAATCCCAGTACTCCTCTGCCCAACACTGTACCTCAGTTCATTGCCAGAGAGCCATGTAAGTCGATCTACTTTTAGTTTTAGGGGGGAAGATGTGTGCATTCGAAATTACACCATGGGGTACAGAGTGGGCTGATCTCATTTTCCAGTTCTGTGAAGAGATTAAGGTCCAAATTTGAAGAATGGCAGTTATGATAGTGATTCACTGTTCATCTTGAACAGAACTGTAACATAAAATTTCCTTTGATATGCTATGAATTTCTTCAGTATGTGATAATTTGCCATAGTGAGGTACTCTGATTTGCCTTGAGATTTGTGTACATCTTTTATTTGCCCATTCTTGGACACAGAGTTGGTCCATACCATTCTGTTTATTCTGTGTGTTGAAGTACATCAGTTTTGTGTCTTTGGAAAAAAAGTAAGTTATCAGAAGTTAAAGAAGCTGATTTTAGGAAATGGGTGATTTTATTCTTCAGAACAGCTTAACTGTAACTTGAAGTGGAATAGTATAGACACAGAAAGGATTTATGCATTGCAACAATCAGTTTATAAAACTAATTCCAATGCAATTTTAAGGAAATCTGGGAAGTCCTGTTGTGAATTATTTGGGTTAGGACATTGGTGAATTGCTAAATGATTCTTTTACCCCACGTTAATGAGCTTATTCGGTTAAATGTCTAGAATATAATTCTTGCCTTTGATTGAATAACTATAAAAAGATTACCTTAATTTTCTTTTTCAAGCTAATCAGTGGCAGAAATGAAGCATGAGACAGGCTCTAATTTTTCTTTCTATCACAGATTCATGTGTGATTTAATATGGCAGGGCACTGATGGATGTCCAAGTTATTTGCCTTTTTGGAGTTGTCTTTATTCCATTCTTCTTGATTTCCAATCACCTGATCGTGGTCTTCCTGGTTTTCCTGACACTATGCTTCAGCTCTTTTTACTACAGTTGAAAAGCACATGGCTTCTTATTCCCTCTATGTCATGTGCTAGTCAGGTTTAATTCAGGTCATGGTGGAGGTTATGGTCTCTCATGAGGGGACTGGGGCTGATCAGTAGAAACTAATAGATGAGCTTGGCTCTTGGTATGTACTTGCATGAAGTTTTCTACGAAGGCAGAAAGTCATAACAGAAAATTATTTTGTTTTTCTGCATGCGCGGGAAATGTGAAACTTTGGTTTGAGAAAGAAATCTAAACAAGAGTTCATCTCATAGTGTAAGCGCATTGCAGGAGTATATAGGACAAGATTAATTCTTTATCCTATGGCATTAGTTGAGTGCTTTGTATATTGTATATATTTAGTAAATATTGCAATACTGGTAGAGTGAAATAAATTGAGGTTTAGATTTGGCTTTTTGTAGAATTTTAGATGCATTTGTATGCCTCTTTATTTGTATTTGAAATTTCTTTTGATACTGCATCAGAAAAACGGTAGTTCTGGAATGTTGCTTTTTTTCGGTGAAAATTGCCTCAGACCTCAGATTCAGTTAAAAGATTTATTCAGGGATGGATTGTTGGCACATGCCTGTAATCCCAGCCCTTGAAAGGCTAAGGCAGAGGGACCTCCACAATGTCGAAGCCAGCCAGAGCTGCGTAGGAAACCCTATCTCCAAAGAAAGAAAGGAAGAGATTTATTCAGACAGGAAATGTAATGCTGGTAACAGTTTCAACTTTAATCTTTCATTATTTTGAATGCTTTTCTTTTCAGAAATTGAGCTTTTTTTCCCCCTCTTGCCTGAATCTGTTACAAAACCCTATGAAACAGGTAGGTAGGGATAGTCAGTTTACCGCAGGATTTACAAAAGCCACAGAGAAGAACAAACTGACCATTCCAGAGCTCCTGAAATTACAGGAAAAGACAAAGACAAACCTCGGCTCCCTTCCCTTCTCTGTGAACAGAACAACTCAGAAGCAATCAGATAGTTTCCACGGCAAGGTCAAAGCCTGTCCAGCTGTCATAGCAAAACAAAATCTGAAGTTTTTTGGGTCCTATCTTTTTTTAAAAATTAGAATAACCAGTAGTGTATTTGTGAGAAAAGAAAACTGTAGCATGATTTTCTTTTACGATAGCACTGTACAGGAGGAATGCTTTAACTGATGATAATGTCAATCTGAGTTAGAATGGAGTTGTTTTCAGGTGTCCTCATCATAAGAAACTGTAGCACTATTTTGTATTTGAAGTAATGGAGACATGGGGAAATCTAGTAACTTCATTGGGGTTATAGTAAGTAAGTATTGTGAGCTAAAATTGCTTTGCCCAGAATTTATAAGTTCAAATCCCAACTCCTAGTACCTCAAAATAACTGTATCTGGTAGTTTTGTAAAGAGGTGGTTAAGCTAAAATGAAGCCTTTAGGGTAGGGACCACATCCAATATGACTATGGCACTTACAAGCCTAAAATGAGCCACCAGGTAAATTTGACACAGGGAAAAGACTCTTTTGTGAATACCAGAGAGTGCAGCCAACTGAAGCCAGGACAGAGGCCTTTGGAGAAACAAATCTGTGGATACCTTGAACTTGGCTGTGATGGTGTTTCTTGTTACAGCATATTGAACAAGCTAATGTATCAGGTGATAGAGCCCACATTTAAGTTCTAGTAACAGTTACTTTGGTGTGGTTGACTCATTTTTCTGAGTCTCAGCTGTACCTCCATAGGATCATGAGGGTTAGAGTCCCTATTTTAAGTGTAAGTTAGAAACCCACCACCTAGGCAGTGACCCTGACCATTAAGTCAGGTAGCATTGATTAAATTGGGACAAATGGGGAAGCAAGCATGTAGCAAGCATGCATGCTTAAAGAGCAGTGACAGGCCTGGAGATTTAGCTCATTGGCATCAGCACCTGCCTTGCAAGTGTGCCGTCTTGAGTTTGATCTCTGGTACAAAAAAAAATTAAAGAGCAGTGACTCTTAATTGCAGGGAGTTGGGATGATGACTTCTTCCACAGGGTGACAGAGACCTATTTACAGTATCAGTCCTTAGAATATGAGTGCATTTGTTTGACCTTTTGTCTTGAGGTCTGACCCATAGCAGAAGGTGTCTGTTTTTCCATGGTTGCAAGATACCTGGTCTTTTGCACTGGCTCCTTTGAGGGCCCAGCCCTGTCTGACTGCCTATAATATTTCTGTTTTAACTCAGCAGCCTGTAACAATAGTGCATTTAAAGGAGGAGGCAGTCATATCTTCATAGAGCCTTTAACTCAAGTTAAATAGATGGTCTCCTTTCATTTCTCCATTTTGAATTCGGGTTTTGAACTTGTTGTGTATTTTAGACTGTCCTCAAATTTGCAGTGATCTTCCTGCTTCAGCCTCCCATGTCCTGGAAATCAAGGCTTTCAATTCAGTTTTTATGGCGTAAACACTGAAAGACTCGCAGACTTTTGTAGTAACCTAGTTTTATATATTCCAACTCCAGGGCTTGTGATTCTCGTTTAGAACTTAGCTCTGTATTTATAACTGTTCTTTGGTTTATTCTGGTACACAAGGTTTAACAGTCTTTAATAGATAAAGGAACTAAAAGTTAGATTCTTCTTCTTGCCCATATTTGCCCTGTGTCCCTACGCTTTCTCTACCCCATTCCAACCAAAAAGCTTGCTATGTTACAGTGGTGCACCTACATACCTGGTCAGAGCAGAACCCCTTGGAGAATAATCAGACCACTTCCTTGTTTGCCTGCCACGCCCCTGGAATTTCCCATTTATCCTGTACTGACCTGGGCTTTGTTGAATTGAGTTCTCAGTTTGTTGTCTGAAAAAATCTGTGAACATTTAGAATGTTAAAGTACCTTGAGCAGATACCCTCACAGGAGCCAACACCCAGCCAATAAGAAATCTGAACCTTCACCCCTAGAGTTGTCCAGAGCCCTGTCCAAAGTTTCCTGTGCCCATGAAGCAGAGTGAGGTAGATTTTCCAGGGCACACAGCATACTGCATGCTAATCAAAAGGGTGCAGATACCTTACTGTTCGTGCCTGCTGCCACCGCCCAGGAGTTCATCCTTTTAGGCAGTGTTGTTTAGAAATGCAGCTACACGGCCTGAGGGAACTAATCCAGCTGAACAGTGGGAAGGAAGGCAAGGGAAGGACCCAGGCTGGAGGTGTTCTGTGAGGGTGAGGGAAAGAATTGTTAATCTGGAAATCACCATCCTTAGGTTTTTACTTACTTACTTATTTATTATTTTGTACTGGGATCAAACTCCCAGCCTCACCCTTGCCAGGCAGGCGCTTATGCCACTGAGCTAAACTCTCAGCTCTTGCGTTTTTATGTAATGTGAATAGTTGTTATTCTTATAAAATTTCTGAGTGCTTCTGCTTTTCGTTTGGCCTTTAGAGTGTATGTTTGTTTATTTTAGGTTTCAGGTTTTTGGGGGTTTAATTTGAGACAAGGTTTCTCTGAATCATTCACGATGACCTTGAACTCACTGTGGCCTCAGACCTCAAATTTGTAGCAGTCCTCCTGCCTCAGCCTTCTGAGTGCTGGGATTATAGCTATGCACTATCACACCCAGTTTTTAAATGCTGCTTAGAGGAAAACTTTTTATCCAGTTCAGTAGTCTAGCCTTCTTCTTCTAGTATTTAAGGTTTTGGTATACTTCATTCTTTCTGGATTGTTACTTCAGAAATGATTACTTTTAATTATTTTAGGTCAATAAATGAAGGTACCATCAGCAAAAATGAAGGTTTTTGACTTGTTTGCTTTATATCTGGAGGGTACACAAATAATTTCCCTAAAAGGAATTTAAAATCACTCAGATGTGAGGTACAAATGAGCATGGGTGGGAAGGTACAGTCGTACAGCACTGTTTTACAGAGTTTAGGATTCTACAACCTGACGTGGCCTCAGTCCTGGAGACAGTGTGGAAGGGAAATAAGTAGTCACAGATGTGTGATCAAGTAGATAGTGTGGCTGGGTGTTTCCTCTTTTTACAGTCCTAAAAGGCAAGAAAAATTTCACACATTGAACAGATTGACAAAATTGCGTTTGTAAAGCCTAGGTTTAAGAGACTTGGTTCTGCAGTGTTTTTGAAAATAAAACTTACGTGGAAACAAGTGTTATT